ACACACTCAATTGGGTATGGAAATCTATTTAACCCTACAGGAAAATAGGGGGGAAGGAGATAAGAGAGGGAGGAGAGGATAGATTCGGGGAGGGGGTAATCAGAAGCAAACACTTCTGAGGAGGGACAGGGTCAAAAGAGAGAATAGAATAAATGGGTGGCGGGATAGGATGAAGGAAAATATAGTTAGTTTTCCACAACATGACCACTATGGAAGTGTTTTGCATGACTACACATATATAAACTGTATCGAGTTGCTTGCCTTCTCAATGAGAGTGGGTTGGGAGGGAGGAAGGGAAAAAATTTGGAACCCAAAGTTTTAAAAACAAATGTTAAAAATTGTTTTCACATGCAACTGGGAAATAAGATATACAGGCAATGGGGTATAGAAATCTATCCTGCCCTACAGGAAAATAGAAAGAGAAGGGAATAAGAGAAGAGGGGGAGATAGAAGGGAGGGCAGATTAGGGGAAAGTGTATTCAGGATACATGCCTTCTTGGGGTGGGGGGGAGAGACTAGATGGGGAGAAAATTTGGAACTCAAAATCTTGTGGAAGTGAATGTTGAAAACTAAAAATAAATTAATTTTTAAAAAAGTGAGCCAGGGAATGGCTCTTTTAATAAAAAAAAAATCAAACTGGATGGGGAAGACCCTTAGGATTTCTGGCCAAAAGAGAAACAATTACTATTCACTTTCATTCTGAGGCATCAGGCCTCCAAAAATAACCCTTAAGTGGTGTTTGGGCAGAGAACTATCGTTGTCCAATCAAGGAGAGCCAGAGTGAATTGGGTTTAAGTCATGGTCTTTATGAAAGAAATGTAGCCAGTAACCCCAAGGTAGGTTTCACCCATCAAAATTTACCTTTCTTTGGGCAGAGCATCCTCAGGTAAGGGGTATGATACCCCATGAGGAGAGGAGTATGTTGCCTGACTGGAACTGGCCAGTTAGGTCCCCAGTGGGGCAGTTCTGACTACACACAGGTTGTATTTTGTCCTTTGTTGTTGAAGAGAACTCTGACATTAGGAAGATGATGCCATGACTTGCAAATGAATTGGATTTAAGTGAAGTAGGGCTGTGCAAAGTCACCAGCCTCACTTTCTCCTCCAGAGCCATCTGGGACCAGTGGCAGGATATAAATCAGGATGACTGGAGATGGCTCAGCCTTCAGGGAGTTACAAAGATGGTAAATAGAGCAGTAGGTGCCATTGTAGGCAGGACAAAAAATGATTGAGGTAAAAATGGGAATGTGTGGTCCCAGGAAATAGAGTACAAAACACTGTCTAACTTGAACTGTTGGCTGTCTCAGCTTATCAGAAGCTTTCCTAAAATGTGGTACCCAGAAATGAACACAGTACTCCATATGTGGTCTGACCAGTAAGACTATCACATTTCTTAGTCCTGGACATTATGACTCTTAATACAGTCTAAGATCATATAGTTTTTTTTGGTTGTCATAAGATGCTCTTGACTCATTGAGCCTATTGTCAACTAAAACCTCTTGGTCGTTTTCAGGTGAAATGTCCTTTAGCGATGCCTTCCGTATCTTGTACTTATGAAGCTGTCTTTTTGTAAGGCTTTACGTTTTGTTGTTGCTGTGCATTCATTTCTCAGTCATATCTGACTCTTCATGACCCCAATTGGAGTTTTCTTGGCAAAAATACTGGAGCCATTTCCTTCTCCAGCTCATTTTACAGATGAGGAAACTGAGACAAATGTGGTTAAGGGACTTGCTCAGGGTCACAAAGCTAGTAAGTGTCTGAGGCCAGATTGGAAATCAGGAAGATGAGTCTTTCTGACTCCAGACTCAGCACTCTATCCACTGCACCACTTCACTGTCCTTTAAGCTTTACATTTAGCACCATTAAATTTCATCTAATTAAATGAGCTCCATGTTCTAGTTCAGTGGTGTCAAAATCAAAAAGAAACTGTACATAAGGGTCTCTGAGACCATATGTTGACTTGAAAATACCATGTGTTGAAGTGATCCATGTTCTGTTGTATTTATTTTGTTAAATATTTCCCAATTACATTTTAATCTGGTTCAGCCTGGGCTTTGGAGTACAGGGTCATCTGTTTGACCCTCCTGTTCTAGCTTGTTCCAGTCTTTTTTGTATCCAGGTTCTGCTTTCAAGTGTGTGAACTCTCCATCTAGTTTTGTGTCATCTGCAAATTTGTTAAGTATGCCATCAGGGCATTAAATCCATGTAATTGGATGGGTGGAAGTATGATAGGTAACTAGAGACTCCTGGTAAAACACAGGACCAAGCAACAATCCCAAGAACAAACTACAGAAAATCTCCTTTGAAATTAGCATCAGCTTATTAATGATTACTCTTTGGGTCCAGGAAATTAACCATTCTAAATCCTCCTAATTATATTGTTGTGTAACTTAATGTCTCCCCCCCCCCGAATACTTTATTTTTTCCAATTACATGTAAAGATGGTTTTCAGTATTCACTTTTATAAGATTTTGAGTTCCAAATTTTTCTCTCTCCTTCCTCCCTCTATCTCAGTAAACAATATGATATATGTTATACATGTACAATTATGTTAACCATATTTCCATATTAGTCATGTTGTGAAAGAAGAATCAGAACAAAAGAGAAAAACCATGAGAAAAACAACACAAAACAAAAAAAAGTGAAAATAGTAGGCTTTGATCTGCATTCAGACTCCATAGTTCTTTCTTTGGATGTGGATAGCATTTTCCATCATAAGTCTTTTGGAATTGTCTCAGATCATTGTGTTGCTGAGAAAAGCTAAGTCTATCATAGTTGGTCATCACACAATGTTGCTGTTACTGTATACAATGTTCTCCTGGTTCTGCTCACTTCACTCAGTGTCAGTATCATGTAAGTCTTTCCAGGTTTTTCTAAAATCTGCCTGCTCTTCATTTCTTATAGAACAGTAGTATTCCATTACATTCATATACTACAACTTGTTCAGCCATTCTTCAACTGGTGGGCATCCTCTCAATTTCCAATTCTTTGCCACCACAAAAAGAGCTGCTATAAATATTTTTGTAAATGTGGGTCCTTTCCTTTTTTATGATCTCTTAACATCTATCATTTTCATAAGAATCCAATGAAAATATTTTTAAATTTTTAATTTAAGATCCAAGTAATCTATATAGTATTCCCTAATTCTTCAGTTGAATAACTGTCAAAAATAAAAAAAGATTAGACCAGCATGACCTGTTCTTAATGAATCCATGCTGATTCTTTATGGTTACCTCTTCCTTTTCCTGATGTTTACTAAGCATCCTTTTAATTTAACAACCCTAGAAACATTTATCAAGGACCTAGGAGAGGCAGCATTGAGTAATGGAGAGTATATTGGATTTGGAGTCAGGAAAGCTTGGGTTCCAATCCCACCTTAAAATGACTAGCTTTACTAAAATTTATTTTAAATTTCTCTTTAGGCCTCAGTTTCCTTATTTGTAAATTGAAGGAATTGGACTCATGAACTCTAAAGTTCCTTCTAGCTCTAGATGTAAGGTCTTATGTTTGAGGCACATAAATTCTAGAACTTTGCCCCTAATGGAAATCAAACTTAGTGACATCATTTACAGACTATTCTCTTCCTTTTTGGGGGGGATATCATGATAATATTTACCCTTCCTTAATCCTGTGGTACCTCTTGTTCTTCAGAATGTTTAAAAATTCTTTCAGCAGGGGCAGCTAGGTGGCGCAGTGGATAGAGCACCAGTCCTGAAGTCAGGAGGACCTGAGTTCAAATGCGGCCTCAGACCAAACACTTGACACTTACTAGCTGTGTGACCCTGGGCAAGTCACTTAACCCCAATTACCTTAAAAAAATTATTTCAGCAAATGGGGATGAAGTTCTTCTGTTTCTGTTTACTTTTACTCTTCAAGTGTGGCTCATCCTCTAATGATGGGCAACTACGTGGTATAGTAGATAGAGTGCCAGGCCTGGAGTCAGGAAGACTCATCTTCCTGAGTTCCAGTCTGGCCTCAGACACTTACTAGCTGTGTGACGCTAGCCAAGTCCCTTAACCCAGTTAGCCTTAGTTTCCTCCTCTGGAAAATGAGCTGAAGGAAATGACAAACCTTTTCAGTATCTCTGCCAAGAAAACCCCAGAATGGAGTCACAAAGAGTCAGACATGATTGAAAATGATTGTACAACAACAAAACCTCTAATGAGTTTCCTACTTTATCTTAGGTATCAGTAATATCCTATTTGCCATTTTTGTTCTCTCTTTGCAGCCCAAAGATCATTCTTCTTGGCAGAGAAAACAGGCATTATAAGAGTTGAGAAGTTTCACTAATTTTTCAAATTATGATTGTAGATGGTGCTTTTGAAACATTATTAATTTATTACCTTGAAGGTTTGGTCATTCATAAATTTCAAGTTGCCCAGCAAAAGTAGCTCATACTGTTTGGATATGATCTAATCTTTAGACCTTACAAGAACAGCTGAGAGTAGTTTTTCATCTTAAGCATTATAGAACCTTTGAGATTCATGGATAGAATTGATATTTTAGCACTTTGCTGTGGGGGACAGTAGATGATGTCAGATTAAATTTAAATTGATCTCTTCGTGTTTATCTCTGGTCCATGTGCAATTACTTCGGCACTGGAGAACCTTTCACAGGCATCCTGTCAATACAGCTCCCTGACAGTCATTTGTATTTGTAAACTGTGCATTTGGCACCTGCTGTTCTCTGTTGCTCTGTGGCTAGTGGGGAGTCAGAATGGGTATACAATGAAGTTATTGGTCAGTATAACTCAGTGGGAGTTATTGAAGGAAAGAAACAACACTTGCATGCCCTCAGGAGAGGATAAGAGAGAAAAAGAAAGTGGTAACATTAATGCATACCTTCTTTTCTTTAGCTACCAGAAAATAATTAATGACTGGAGAAGCCAGCCAGTTCTGTCCATAGCATTAAATTGTTTGTAGCAATCCCTAGTTGTTGTTTTTACTTTAAGAATACATTTTAATAATCTAACCTGAATTTATTTGGCTTTTTTGATTTTAGGATTCCAAACAAGCTTAAGCAGTTTGTATTAGACTTGCATTCAGGAAAATTGCACAGAGAATTTCATCATGGTCCTGATCCCACTGATGTTGCCCCTGGACAGGTAGGAGTTTACATACTCTTTCAATAGTATACTTTTTTCCCAGTAGTGGAAAGAGATCTTCTCTTGCATTGATTTAATAAGTTTCTATTGTAGAAAGAAATGCTATTAAGCAATCTTGAAGCAGTGGCCAAAATTAAAATAAGCAACAACAAAAGACTATTTATGTTGAGAACGAAGTATTAAATAGTATCTGTCTAGAATGGTATAAGGTGGCAAGATTTAGAACAGAGAGATTGGTGAGTTTAGTAGTGGATTCTATTGTTTAATTACCACCTGTGGCTAACAGATTGATCACATTATATAAAGAATAATGGTTTTATTTGTTAATTTTTGCTGATGAGATCAGATCTATTGCTTAGAGTTTATGATGAGTACACTTTTATGTAGTTTTCATTTTGGGGGCATATATATTATTACCTTTTTGAATACTCAGTAGGTAATAAGTAACCTATATAAGTTGTTTCATTTTGCTTCTTTTTGTTTTTGAAACTGATCCTCCCTATTTCACCCAGGCCAGGACTGCAATGGCCCCACAGGCCTGATCTCAATACTAAACTGCACAGAAGCTTTAACCTGTTCTTTTTTTCTGACTTGAGCTTGTTGGCCCCCTTCCTTAGGCAGCCTTCATATACGGTTCTCCACTTCCTGAGGCTCACCATATTTGTACCAGACATAATGTGGACACGCAAGCAGTTTAAATCCTGCTACAGCTCAGAACTACCAAATTCAAGTAATCCACAAACCTCAGTCTCCTCCAGTAGCAGTGATTATAGCTGTGTACCACCATGCCTATCCCATTAGATTTTTTATTTAAAAGTTTTTAGCTTCTTTATGTTCTCAAAATAAGTATTTTTGTAATTCATGCAATTTCTATTCACTTTTTTCCTTCCTTAACAAACATCCCTTCATTCTGCACAGCTGTGGCTTAAGTCACTTTTTCTTCTAAGATATCCTAATTTTTGCCTCCCTTTGCCCCTTTAAAAAGACAAACAAAAAAAAACCAAACCCATGTTTCTTTTCATTTAACTTCTTTATTTAGTGGTTAAATTCTTTTCAGTGACAGGAGCTCCCGTTATAGCACTTTAGAGTTCTTTTTTTTTTCATTGAAAATTTGAATTCAGGAATTTTTAAAAATAATTTGGAAACTATAGAAGCTGATAACCTCATCCTGCTGAACATAACAGCTTTGAAGAAGTGCTCCGAGGTTTTTTTCCCTAAATATGAAGTATGGTTAGTGTTTTCCAAGGCTTGGTCAAAGTGATGTGCATCATAACAGACCAGTTAATATTATCACCTGAGCTTGGTGAAGCTAAACATCTATTTCACTGAGTTAATGAGATGGGGAAATTGGAAATTGAGCATGACAAGGAAAAAACGAGGATGGACACAATGTCATGTATATGGCATAATGTTATTGGTTTAGAACGCCTTTGCTCCTTTTTGACAGTTCAGAAGACAGAGTCTTTTTCTTTTCTACTGATATACATTGCAGAATATTATTAAGGTAAATTTCAAATGTTAAAATGTTAGCTTTTCACTTTATCTCACTAAGTTTTAGGCTATTGCACCATTTAAGTAGCTTGTGCAGAAAGGCTACTATATAAATAGGAAATTTTGTGAAGCGGGGTCAGAACTACATTGCTTCCACAGAGTGCATTAAGAAAAGACCTAGGTTGTCTAGCTATTAGGGCATTCTCTCCACCCAACAGAAATGTGTCTTGTCACCTAACATGTCACCAAGAAAAAGTAGGGTCATTTCTGAAGGAATTGAGACTGGGAGAGGCTGTAATTTTTTTGAAAAGCATTTAAAATAAGGAAAGCGGCATCCAAGTCCTCTCCTTTGGAAAATGAAATCAGTGGCTGTCCCCTCAAGTAAAGTGAGCATCTTTAGTCAATAAACCATCAAGTATTTATTGAACTTCAACTAGCTATCTTAACTCTGTGCTCAAGTTATAATATAACCTCAAAGCTGAAATATATTGTCTTTTTATCTTTTACAGCACATTCAAGATGTAGCAAGCAGTCCACCAGAGAGTTCCTTTCAGAAACTAGCACCCAGCGAATATAGGTATACCTTATTGAGGGATCGAGATGAGCTTTAAAAACTTGAACAGAAAATTGCAAGCCTTTCAAACAACAGCATCAACTTATGTGGTGGAAATAGTAAACCTATATTTTCATAATTCTATGTGTATTTTTATTTTGAATAAACTAAAAGAAAGGTTTGGGTTTTTAATTCCCCTGACTCAAATTATATGGTTTGGTGGGTGATCCAATATACTTCTTTTTTAAAGTCCTATTAATATTTAATAAGAAAAATGCATCAGAAGCCCATCTTCACTTTGGATCTAACCCTGACCTCCAAAACATTCATAAATCCAATGGAAGGTAATATCGCCAGAGACGATACATTGTTAACTTGCACTGCTCCATTAAATAAGAATTGGGGTGTTTTCTGTGTAACCTGGTAGTATGTACGCTCTTTTCCCCCTTCCTTTCCATAGGAACAGTTCTCTTGGTACTTTTCGTTGTCACATTTCTCACAGCAAAGAGGGTATATATTCTGGATACTTGGGAGGGGAATAAATTAAAGTTTTACAGAACGTTGTGTTGTGTTACTGATTCGTGGGATGCTGCTTGTGAAATTTTGATTATAGTCTTTTGGGACCTTTGACATGTAACCTAAACCTGTTACTGAAGAAGCCAGAAAGCCCTAAGTCAAAAATTTGACCTGACATTCTCTGAGCTTAAAAAGAGAAAGAAAAGGGAAAAAAATGCTGTTAAGCTTATAAATGTTTACATAATAATGGCTGTGAGAGGCATTTCAAACTATTAAGAGTGATTTATTCATAAATTTGGGGAAAAAATTCTAATTCAAATGAATACCAGTGTTTCTAATGGGGAATACAACAAATCTCTTCAGTTCCTTGTGTCCATTTAGAGTAGATCTTCCCTTTAGCCAATTTTGATTTGTATGACTATCTAAGGTAGTGCTAACCCCAAACCTCAGATTATGATCTAAATTCATCTTACAAAGTGTTCCTCCACCCAACCCCAAGTACCCACTGCATTTTTTGGGTCTCCCTCTGACCTGAGTGGGTTACTGAGATAGCTGCTACTCAGCATCCTGTCCACTGGATTCTTGATGCAGGATGTAGAGGAAAGCAGCACAAGAAAGAGACCAAAGCCAACAGAGTGGTGCTTTGCTGGCTTGGGCTGGCACTGTATGGATCAGGAGTCTTTTTATACTTTTTATACTAATACATATAAGTCAACCCCAGTTTAGGGGGAAGGATGTTTTTGGTTTTTTTCTTTTGTTTTGTTTTTTAATTTAAAAGGCTGACTTATGTGCCATTATATAGAGTATGTAATGATACCTGTAACACCTACCAGTTCTTTCAAAATAAAAAAAAAAATCTTCATATTTCTGCTGGATATTTAATTATTTTGTTCTTTCAGAAAAGAACCAGCTTAGTCAGTTCTGGATATATTCTAGATAGATAGCTATCTTTTACCCAGTGAAGGAATATTTAAATATCTTTAAGGGGAGCAGTCAGTCTCTATTTGAACACTTACAGTGACAGGAAGATTACATCCCTACAAAACAGTCCATTCTGTTTTTGGATGGTTCCGTTATTATGAAGTCCTTTCTTAACTTTCATATAACTTCCATATATTGATTCTAGTCCTGTCCTCTGGAGCCTTTTCCCAGATAACAGGTCTTCAAATATTTGAAGATAGCTACCACATCCTCTGTCTTTCTTTTATGCTAATGGCTTTCAGTTACTTCAGTGGTCCCTCATTTGATATCCTGGTAGTCCTACTGACTGTTCTTCATTTTGTCAGTGATACTCCATAACTGGACACATTATTCCACACATGGTTTGACCAGAATAGAATACAGTAGTGCCATCACATTATATTTCCGTTAATGTGAACTAAGGCTTATTAGATTTTTGTGTTGTCCCATAGGAATATAGATTTAAAGCTAGGTAAGACTTTAGAGGTTATCTAATCCAATATCTTCAATATACAAGTGAAACTGAGGCCCAGAAAAGTTAAATGACTACCCAAAGTCACATTGTAGAGCCAAGATTCAAACCCAGGTCCTCTGATTGTAAATCCATTGCTCTTTCCATTACATCATGCATCTTCCCCGTCATTTTAAGCCTTCAGTTCACTAAAATCCCCAAGTTTTTCCCCCCTATACTTACACATTTGATATTTTTGAACCTAAATACAGAACTTTACATTTGTAAAATTATTTGTTTTAATATTTGGCCTATTGTTACAGTCTGTTAATGTTTGATACTGATTCTGTCCAGCATATTCGCTATTCCTCTCAGCCTTGTGTCATTTATGAATTTGATGAGCATTCCAAATGTATGTTTAAACCATTTAGAAAAGTGTTGACCAGAATAGAATCAAGAGAGCTATGACACCCTACCAGAAACCTCTTTTGGTTGACATCAAATCCATCTTATATATACTCTCATTCAGTCCACATATCTCCATTTTGTGTTTGTTTAGGGATGTTGCAAGAAATTTTTTTCAAATTCTCAGCTGAAATCTAGACACTACATTTTTAATATTCCTTTTGATCTGCCAATTTAGTAAAATTAGGAAAAAAGGAAATTACCTTGTGATGCACATTTAGTATATTTATTGTGATGAGTCTGGTTGCCATATTTGAAGAGGAATGTTTGCCAAATATACTGCCTCCACAAGAATAAAATAAAAAATTTAGTGATCATTTTATAAATGAAAATACAAGCCCAAAGAGTCTAGTTTGCTGAAAGTCACTCAAGTGATTAGTGACAGGCCTAGATCTTTTGACTTCTGAATCAGTTTTCTTTTTCATATGCCAGGCAATTTATGGCTAGGGTTGAGGAAGCATTGTCACAAGGAACAAGTGGATTCATCTGGGGATGTTTAGCCTTGAAAGGAGAACACTTAAGAGACACAATCACTGTCTTCAAAAATTTGAAAAGTTGTGGAAGATAAAGAACAGGTTTATTTTTGTGTTGCCCCATAGAGGAGAAATAGGATCAATGAAAAAAACTTCCTAGGAGCAAGAAGGCATATTTCATCTGAATGCCAGTAAAAATTTTCCAACATTTAGATTTGTCCTACAAATGGCGAAAGATTATGAACATTTCATTCCAAAATGGTAAAAAAATAGTTGCAGAGAGGTATGCATAAGACTCAACTGAGCCAAATCATAGGAGACTGTAAATGAAACTGGGAGAACAACAGACATCAAATCAATCGGATCTGCCAAAATTTCTGTGACAAAAAAATGAATGCAACTATCACATTTGAAGTGCCTCATCTCAGTGCTAGATGTACTAGGTGAGGATATGGTGATGGCACTTTGAAAGGCAGGAAGAATGGTTGAACTTGAACAAATATGTAATAATAGAAATTAATGCCAAGATGGATATAGTGGCACACACCTGTATTCTCTGCTCCCAGGGAGGCTGTGGCTGGAGAATCAGCTAAGGAATTCTGAGCTGCAGTAGGCTAAGCCAACTAGGTGTCTTCACTAAGTTTGACATCAATATAGTAAGCTCCTGGGTGGGAAGGGGAGGTTGCCTTAGGAGGGGCAAACCCACAGAAATGAGGATGGTAGAGCTTATGACTAGCCCCTGTACTTTTCAGCCTGGGCAAGATGGGGATTTAAAAAAAGAAAAGAAAAAAAATGACTTTGCCTGCAAGAGGCACTTGGGGATCAATTCAAAGAATGAAAAATCCAGTGGACTGGAAAAGATAGTGGACAGTACTATGACCAAAAAAAAAAATAAAGGCAACTTGAGAAGACTTTAGCGATTAGTAACATGCCTATTTTTGCTTTAAGGTCTTTATGAGAATGAACTACACATTGAGGATGTCATTAATGCAAAACATGAGCAGGGAACATGCAGACTTTGGAAGATTTTTACTATAGCCCACATCTTTGTAGTCATACAACTGAGAGATGTAGAGAATTTAATATCCCACTGTGATTGTTTGTTAACTTACAAAGTTCATTTGACTTAGCTAAATACAGCTTTGAAATTCTCAAACAAAAGTGTCTCCTAACACATCAAAAGCATAGGTGACAATGTAGTTCAATCCACTGAGTATCAGTGTCAACAAGGCATAAAACAGGAAGATACGTACTCACTGAAGGTGATCACCAGTGTCACCAGAGCTTAGCGCAGTGCCTGGCACATAGTAGATGCTCAATAAATGTTTATTGATTGACTTAGACAATCTTGGGCAAAATCCAAGTAAAAGTAGAATTACTTATTGGTGGCCAGGTCCTCCATATGTTTCTGTGTTTGATGTGCTGATTACATTGGGCTTCCGCAACCACTCATGAGCTTGGCCTAGCCGTATATACTGAAAAAAACCCAAAGAAGATGAAAAACACATTTCCTGGGTGAACAACCCCATTGAGGTAGTATGTGTGTATGTGTGTGTGTGTGTGAGAGAGAGAGAGTTTTGAAAGGATGCTACAGATGGTCCATTATCTGAACTTGGAAACAAACATGATTATAGGAGTTAGATGTTTTTAGATTTAGAATTAGAAGGGACCTTAAATCACCTAGGCCAACTTCCTCATTTTATAGATGAGAAAACACCAGAGAAGTTGACTTGCTCAAGTCATGCACTTAGCAGGGAGCCAGGAATCAAGGACTTCTGACCCTAAATCCAATACTTGTTCCATCCTACCATATCACCAAGAGATTGGGCTGCATTACATTTCAGGAATTAAGTATCAGTTAACTATCAGTGATCCCAAGTTTCTTGCAGCTGCAAATGCCCATGTTTTAACACCGTTATCCTGTTGATGCTACATTACTATGAACTCTGGAACATTAAAATGTCAGAAACTTCAAATTGGAAAGGTCTTCAGAAGCCATCTAGTCCAGCCTACAAATGATAAAGAATGTTCTCTGGGACATCCCCAACAACGGGGGGACCTTGCTAGAAAAGCTCTAGTTGGGCTACTTCCCAAAGCTGCCAATTTGACTTTTGGATAGTTCTAATGGCAAGTTTTTCCTTATATTGAGCCTAAATCTGCTTCCTTGCCCCTTCTACTCCCAGCTTCTAGTTCTGTCCCCTGATGCCAAAGAAAACAAAACTAATACCTTTAACACATGACAACTTCTCGGGTTCTTGAAGATAGTTAACATGGCCCCATTAAGTCTCATTATGCTAAGCATCCTCAGTTCCTTCAACCACTCCTTG